TCCAAAACCAAACGCACGTAAGGTTTTGTATAAATAACCGTGATGCACTCTATCGAATGCCTTTTGCTGATCCAACGACACAATAGCAAGAGGTAGGTTGTTAATATTTGTATAAGAAATAACATCACGCACCAAATAAATGTTATCAAATATTTGACGTTTAGGTACACAATATGACTGATCCACGTGAATGATTTCTGCAAGCGCCGACTTTAGTCTAAAAGACAGTGCTTTGGTGATTATCTTATAATCTGCACACAAGAGACTGACTGGTCTCCAGTTTTTAAGGTCGTTATTGTCACCTTTTTTTAGGTAGGAGCGTGATTATTGCTCTGCGACAAGACAATGGAAGAATACCGTCCTCGATCGAGGCTGAGAACACATTGTATAAATCAGTACCAAGTACTTCCCAGAAATGTTTGTAAAACTCGCCTGGAATTCCATCGATACCAGGCGATTTACCAGTTGCCAAGCGTTTGACCGCAGAAGACATTTCATCAAAAGAAAGCTGAGCATCACACTGTTCTCTCTCATTTACAGATAACTGTGGGAGGTCCTCTAATAAAATGTCTTGACATCCAGTGGTGACAGGGTTTGGAGAAAACAGTTCGGCATAGAAATCTCTAGCTAGCCTTCGCATCATAGTAGGCGAGTCAGTGAGAGTACCGTCCGCCTGTTTCAATTGGGACATGATTTTTCTGCCGCCTTTATATTTTTCCATATCAAAGAAGAATGCATATGGTGCGTCACTCTCATTCAAAACTTTATGCCTGGCCCTTATCGCTGCTCCCCTGGTTTCCGTTTTGACAAACTCGTTCAGTAATGATTGTTTTTCATTTAATTGTTCTTGAAGTGCTGGATTATTGACAACGTGTTTTTCTAGATCAGTGACTTCATTGCATAGTTTATGTTTGATATTGCGATAGTTATTGCATAGCCTTGCTGTGTATTGTTTTGTTAATTCTTTATTTTTCCCTACATCCCACCACAGTTGGAGTGAATCAAAACATGATTTTTCTTTGCGCCATGTCAGCCAGTAGTCAGAGATAATAGCAGAATATTCTTTGTCATGTAACAAACTAGAGTTAAAACACCAGACGGGATTGTGATTGTTTATTTTTGTAAAAGACAACTTAAGTCTAACAGGAGAGTGGTCGGAGAAATCAAAATGTGGTTTGATTGATGTGTGCTTAATTCTCGAGGCTATAGATTTTGATATGTCAAAAGTATCAATGCGGGACATACTTTGATTGCGAGACCATGTAAACTGTTTAACTAAAGGATTAAAGTGTCGCCATGCATCAGTGAGTTTGAAGCGCTTACTGATGTTGGTCAGCATTGTTGACGAAAGGGTGTGTGGTTCAGGTATATTTGCTCTATCCAGATCGGAGTTCAAAGTACAGTTGAAGTCACCCCCCATGATTACGGGGTCGGGAGCGATATTATTTAACAGTTGTTTCAGCGTGGTGAAGAAAGCTACACGCTCTGTACCAATGGTGGGGGCATACACATTGATCAAATGAAAGCGTGTACCATCAATCTCAACATATAAGTGAAGTAATCGCCCGGGCACGACATCACTGGCTGTTATAACGTTGACTTGCTTGTGGCGGTTAAACAAAATTGCCACACCAGATGCATGCGTGTTACCGTGGGAGAAATGAATTGGCGCTCGCCAAACAACCTTCCACGCTGGTTCGTCTGAGACGACTGTGTGGGTTTCTTGTAGGAAGAAAAAATCACTTTTATAGTTGGTCTTGAGAAAATTAAAAAGTTGGTACCTCCTGAGAGAGTCTCGACAACCACGAATGTTCCAGGTGACAGACGAGATATCAGCCATGTTTAAATACAAAGGGACGAGAAACTGTCAACTGGTATGAACACGTCCATAGATAATTCATGTTTAATAACATACTGAAAAATAACATATCCATAACAATTGATGTTTTATATTTTGTAGTGGAATGGTGTTATGGAACAGCTGTAATTACATTCTTGCATATGAACACATATATAATGTTCCTCTGGATGAAGCACAATAATATTTCACATATTGTATCTATGACTCCCCTACTAAAAGGGGATACAAGCTTATAGATGCGCATGAAGCTAGCGAACAGGCAGAGTATTAACATATTCCCATTTAAAGGGCCCTCGCTGACGGAGATTAAAATAAAGCTATGGACAATAACATCAGCACATATGCAGAGAATGAGTGCGCCTGTAGCGTACTCGGGAATAACACCCAGTGATGATTCATAATTTATGTTTGAGACGCACTCACCAACAGAGGATAGTAAGTATTTATAAGCAATAGCATCAGTACATATACTGAGTATAACACCACCCGTGACGTGCTCGGGAATAAAACCCATAAATGTTTTATGCTTTATATTTAAAACGCAGTCACTGCTGCAATATAGCAACAAGTTGCAGGCAATAACAGCACCAGTAAACATGCCGAGTACGAACACGTTCGTGACGTGCACGGGAGTAAAAACCATAAATCGTTCATACTTTACATTTAAAACGCACTCACTGATGGACTATAGCAAAAAGTTGCAGACAACATCAGCACCAGTAAACAAGCAAAGTACGAGCACGTTCGTGACGTGCGCTGGAATAAAACCCAAAAATGTTTCATACTTTGTATTTAAAATGCACTAACTGACGAACGATAGCAAGTATTTATAAACATCAGCGCCAGCGCATATGCTGAGTACAAAACCATTCGTGACGTGCTCGGGAATGGAACCCATAGTTGTTTTATGTTTTATTTTCAAAAGGCACTCACTTATGAAAGATAAGTTGTAGACAAAAATACCGGTAGCCATGCTGAGTATTTTATGTTTTTTATTGGGATTTTTGATTGGAACTAAAATATTGTAGGCACTAATAGCACATAAAAACATGCTGAATATAGGCACGCCAATAACGTGCTTGGAAATATGATCCATTGAAATTTCATATTCAATATTTAATACACTCTTACTGTGTGTTAGAAAAATGATGGAAACACAGACACCAACCAAGTGACAAAAAATTAACACAACACATGTGTTCGGGACGACTGCAGAAATGTCAGCCATGATTAAGCATAAAGAAAAAAAGATCAAATTTAAACACATTGTTAAATCCATTGAGTTGAGGACAAGAAACCAGTGTTAGATCTTTTGTTTACCTCCAGTGTTGGAGGGTATACCCCGTTGTGTATTCAATAATACTTCTTTTGCTTTTTCCTTTGTGCTGACGGTAGTTTCTGGGTTCTTGAGTACTTTCTTGTAATAACTTGTTAGTTTTGAATTCATACGCTGGATACGGATTTTTTCGCTGCCCGGCATATCAGTGTTTTTCCGGTAGTGGTTAATAGATTTAATAAGTATTCCCAGATCTGGACAGAACTCTGTCGCGAATTCAATTATGCGCTTATGATTGTAAGATTTTTGGATAAAGGATGTAATTGTATCTTGATCCAACAATTTTAAGTCAGCATCATCAGTACTGACTTCGGAGAGTTCGGAGACCTCTGACGACAGAGACTCCATTTCATCTCTGTCATCAGACCGACCATCAAGGTCACTGACCTTTCGGTCAAAAACATCAATGGGCTTAGAACCCGATACAATAGAGGAGTAAGACGGAACACAAAAGCCAGGATCGGAGGAATGCAGGATGGTTGAGGGGTGGGTTAGTACCACCTCCTCGCTGGTATTTGAAAAATCTGACGATGTTGACACTGGGTCAGAACCAGATACACCTGTCTGTTATGTTTAGATTGGCCACACAAATTTCACTGACAGGTTTAGATTTTCTTTGATCATTACATGAATCAGTTTGTACATTATTAGTACTATCATTATCGACGTCGTCACCGGCGTCGTCACCGGCGTCGTCAGTATGTAGGTCATTTTCAAAAAGCCTCGTGATTTGTGTGTTATCCCCACCAACATCCATATCATCGTCACGGCTTTGACTGTAATCTTGACTTGGTTCAACTGTTTCAGTTCTGTCTTCATATTCAATTCCGTCTATGTGATGTTCATCTGTTTTATTTTCATCCTTTCTTCGTGGTGCAGATTGGGTATTTTCGTCGACATTGTATCCATTAGTCTCGACGGTTGGTTGATTGTTTTCGTCATTTGGAGTGTTGTTTGTAGACTGTTGACTATTTTCAGCCGCAGCATTCGTTTTATTTTGCGACCGGGTACCTTGACGACAATCGCGTTGTACGTGTCCTTTTTTAAAGCATTTATAACACGTGATTTTATCTGTTGATACATAAATTTTATAGAGTCGATTTTCATGTTTTATCAGTATAATGTCCTCAATACTATCGTTTTCAGAGATCATGTGAACCTGTCTTCGAAAAGACTTGATGTGTCTCAGCTCGGGATTTTTAATTCCGATGGGGATGTATCGGAACGTACTGACAATACGACCGAATTTGTTTAAATGCTTGTCAAGAGTAGCATTCGTTATAAAAGGAGGAACCCCAGACAACACTATTTTAGTGGCTGGTTTTACCAATGCCTCGGCATGAATACACATATCACCAACATTTAGTCCATTAGCACACACTTTATCAACGTCAGCAACTGAGGTCAGAAAAACAATAACACTGCCATTAATGCGAGATGCAGCTAAAATAGTTTTGGCATCAATAATTTCAGAAATAGCAGAAACATAAGCCTCAATATTAATACCTGAAACTGACTCACAGCGAACTCCGTGATTACGGGTCAGTCCAGCAAAACAATTGCCACGTTTTGTCAACATGGCGGCGGCCATCTTTCCAGCTCGGCAAGTTCGCCAACACCGAAACAAAAACTGAGAGAAACCAGGCGGATTTACACCTGAATTTCTCCGAAAACGCAATAGTCACAACCAGTAACTGTTTACAAAGCACAATCAACAGAAAATAATAGGAACTTAGCTTGAAACAACGTGTAAATACTCAAAAATTGAGGACTTACATACTTGTACTGACTTACATACATATACTGCCTTACATACTTATACTGCCTTACATACTTATACTGCCTTACATACATATACTGCCTTACATACATATACTGACATATATACTTATACTGACATACATATTTATACTGACTTACATACTTATACTGACTTACATACTTATACTGACTTACATACTTATTGTCGCATACGACTTGTTTACCACTTCCGTGTGACTGAGAATGTTCTAGAACCGTACTGTGTCTGGGTGGAATTTTTAGAAACTGGTTGAATAGGTAATAGAACACTGTAGGAGGCAATAGAAGGAACATTCTAGAAATTTGTAGTAAGTTCCAGACTCATTATGTATGCTGATGTAATGTGTTGGGGTTTAAGTATCTAGTTATTGGAGGTTTGGAGTTTTACCGAGTTATTGTACTTGATGTTTGCAGAGTATAATAATACCAGTACCAGTTGAAACCTCATCTGTTGACTCCGTGTTCGTATGTTATCATCGCCGCCAGGGAAGTCTTTATGTTACTGTTGCCATTTTGGTATTTGAACCATCACACCTGTACTATACCAATTACGGTAATATTACGTTGCGTGT